AGAATCTGGGTTTCGATACCCGTGGGGGCAGAGTACAGATAGCCCATTGTGTAGCTTTGTGCTTAATTACAAACAAGCAATAGAAGAATATTTCTCGATAACTCACGTTCGAAGTAACATAAAGCTTGAAGTTCGGTTAAAAGTAGATTTTAATGTTAACATGGCAATTGAAACTAATTCAAGTTTTTTTTTTTTGTTCTAACATTAATTTTATACTCTTAAGCGACTTTTGAGGTGTGGTGTGGCTCTAAGAAGATTAAGTAATAGTGCAAACAGTGGCTTAACTACAAAGATGCCCCCCCCCGACATAAAAGTAACTGGGCCCCCTACATTTACTTCCCTATAATTGTAATTAAGATTCGGACCTCCTTCTCTCTCGCCACTGAGTGCAAATATGTGAGAATGGCGTGGAGATGTTTTTCTGTTGCAGGAATGGGAAATGTTGTTAAAATTGGTAGTATTATAAAGGAGTAGTATCGCAACTTATTTGTCTGTCGTGCAGTATCAGTGGATGACGTTGAATCAGTTTGGGGTTTGAATTTCAGCGAAATAATGATCCAAGGATACTGCCTTGATTAATACAAAGAAAAGGAAAGTATAAGTTATAAAATGGTCAACATAAACTCCTAATACTAATTAAACATTTGTGGTATTATTAAATAATTATAATAATTTTGCAAGTAAGAAGTAAGTTCACCTTCCAGTGTTTTGGAACAACATACAACGAAAATAGAAGGAAATACTAGTTTAAAGTCTCACAAATATGGCAGCCGCTATGATTAATCGATGTCGTGATATAATCAAAGCTTGCGAAGAACCTATAATAATACGGATTATTCAGTTTATTCTGTTCTAAAGTTTATTTCGTATGCTTAATGTTTTACTAAAACAACATTTTTTCTTCTGTAATATTTAATGAAAGCTCAAGTGTTAATATCTTGGACCCAGACATTTCACTGATATTGTATGAATATCGAAAACACACGTGTTCTCAAAGCTGCTGTTGGAAAGTAACCGATTGTAGTGAAACGTTTTATTTAATTGAGAAACTTGGATGATGGTAAACGTTTGCATTTTTTCCTGTCCCTATGAAACATATGAGACGATGAAAGTTGAAATAATTATTTAAGCCTTTTCCCAATAAATTTAAATTCTAAAACATAGAATACAAAAAAAAAAGATAATTTCATTATAACTAGCCTTGATTTTTTAAACGCAACAGGGGCGCATTAGGGCGCTTAATTTGCATAATTATAGCCAAGGTAGAGACTCGATCAATTTCTGTTTTATTTTATTTTTGTCATCTTATAGATCTACTTGCGCTACTGCCTGACAAAAGAACGATGATGACGAAACAGAAAATATGTTAATCTACTGAATTGTATATATATATATATACTTGTGTAAGCGCGCATGCTACAAGAGCAAAGGATCAATATAATGTTGCGTAGGTGCTCGAACTAAATATTCAAAGGAACTAGGTATGTGCACGCTTCAGTTTCTAACATTAGAAAGTGTTTGTGTTTATGTTGACCTGAATTTTACCTGGACTCGTGTCCTTTACCATTATAGCGCTCGTGAAGACGTTTGGTAAATTTGACAGTTTATAAGTGGTGAGTAGAGCTGGATTAAATCTTCACCATGTTGTTGGCTCCACTGCATTCGTTTTATTTTCACTTCAACAACATCGTTAGACGTACTTTTTGTTATATAAACCCGTTTAATAAACGTATAGGAAAATTGTAGTTTAAACATGTAGAAGGAAGAAGTAATATTTTCTTCTTCTTTGGGGTTTTCGAATACTTACAGCAAAACACTTTTGTTAGGACCACTGAAGCAATTTTGAAGATCAATACTATTTTGCCTGAACATTGTCTACAGTTTCTTTATCTTTAACACAGAAGTTGGCAAAGGTTTTTTTCATCGCTACGTTTACTTTACTGGTATATGACCATGTACACTTACTAAAGCCTTTTTGCATGTTCAATATATATATATATATATAACTGTATAACAGTTAATAGTTTATGTTGAAAGTATTATTCAAGGTTGTCTTTTCTACAAAGAGACCAAAAAAAAAAGTGATAGCATCACTACTTAAGGTCAGCGGATAAAAATAATGGGTAAGATTATTTGGTATACACGTTGATTTATTGATATATTTATGACCAATATCTTGACACGTGTTTTTATATAGTCTTTTCATTCAGAAATTAACGAATGATTTAGCTTTAAGAAAATCTTTTACTTTTGACATACTTCTTTTTACTTTAGTTTTAATTTTCTCAAAATTAAGTTAAAATATGATTATTAAAATATTCTCCCTAAAACATCCAAACAAATATCTTGAAACATTTCATCAGTTCTAAGGCTAGGATAGGATTTAACAGTTTTATAGTATTCTACTTTATCTACTTGAGGATTTAAAATTAAGTGAAGAGTCATTGCAACTGATCACCGAAAACATTTCCTTTCCCATGTATAGACAACATTTACTTTTTCTCTACAGCAGATCAAAATGAATATAAGATTGATGTGTTTCCTGGTCTTGCTGCTGTTACTGACGGCTGACTCCGCAAGGATGAGAGGAGGACGAAGACGAGGTGGCAGAAGAAGAAATCGAATTGGTTCTCCGAGATTCATTTTTTACACTTCACCTAGTCGCCGCGAATACTACGACAACCCTAATGTGAGAACAAAATATCCCTAAGTTTTCTGCAAACATATATAAAAAAATTCTTGCTGAGTGGATTTCCAAAGATTAACGGGTCATAAACATTAGATGTATTATAGATTTAATATTTTTATTAATAACAAGGCCAGTAGGTGATATTTATTTTTATTATTCTATTATTTTATTATTTGGCTTGCTTGTTTGCTTATTTTAGCGCAGAGTTACACTATGGGCTATTTGCGCTCTATCCGCCACGGGAAATCGAACCCTGGATTTTAGCGTCATAAGTCCTTAAACTTACCGATGACTTACTGGGGGAGCTATTATTTGGCAACAAAAAATATCTAATAAATGATAACTGCATAATAGTTAGGTATTGATATTATTCTGCATATCTCTTGATAATTTTAAAGCGTGGTTCATTCAGCAAAATGTAAAAATGATGAAAATAACAAAAGGATTTACTAAAGCACATTATTACAAGCGAACACATTTCTTATAGTAGCCCCTTAGTGGCACAGTGATATGTTTGCGGACTTAAAACGCTAGAAATCGGGTTTCGATACCCTTGGTGGGCAGAGGACAGATAGCCTATTGTGTAGCTTTGTGCTTAACTTCAAACAAAACAAAAAAAAAACTCTTATAATAACATATATTGTTTAAGAAGTTCGTTCGTCCTAAACGTTATATCATAAATTATATTTGAAAAGCTGGAGGCGTTCAAATCGCAACTTTTGAAATATCACACTGCATATATTAAATAGCGTTTAAGTGAATCTTCTGACTTTTGCAGTTCAACCTGACTGAAGCATTCTGGTACTGAACAAAAACCTCTTGGGCAATGACTTGCGGAGAACAGAAGATAGGCCTGAAATGCTATGCTTACACGTTTTAGATTTTGAATCCACAATGGACAAAATAAGAAGAATGTGGGGGGGGGGGATCTGCTGTTAAAGTGATTTTTATCTCAAATTTTAGGCTTTTTTTTGTTTTTGTTATATATGCTACACCGTTGTAAATCTACGCTTAATTTGTTTTCGTCATATTTAATGCATCATACAACAGGGCTCTCATATAAAATACTTGGAGGGAGAAATATACTGCGTTACCTGAAGCAAAATGATAGAGAAAACAGACCTGACTTTGTAAAGGACATCATCTTCAGTTTAAAACTCAGTCTTAGTGAGGAAGATGCTCCAGGTGTTTGTAACACTGGTACACTATGTCTTTCTTTTCCTGTAACTACTGCCATTGTTGAGTAAGAATTAGAACAATGGTACATCACGTCTTTCTTCTCCCGTAACTACTGCCACTGTTGAGTAAGAATTTCGAACAATGGTACATTACGTCTTTCTTTTCCTGTAACTACTGCCATTGTTGAGTAAGAATTAGAACAATGGTACATCACGTCTTTCTTCTCCCGTAACTACTGCCACTGTTGAGTAAGAATTTCGAACAATGGTACATTACGTCTTTCTTCTCCTGTAACTAATGCAACTGTTGAGTAAGAACTACAGCACACACTTTAGAAGCACTTTAACTCAATAGATAAAGGGGTTAAACTCTTAACATTCCGAATTTAATAAATGAATTTATTAAAACTGGGGATGAAAAATGGCAAAGTGACTACTTTATCAGAACTCGAATTTATCTACTTTTAATAAACTTTAAAAAAAAATTCTTTTGTGGTGAAACCCCTCCAATAAATAGTTGCTTCTTACGCCTTTTAGTGTTTCAGAAAATATCTTCCGACATCTTTCTCTACCCACCCTGACAATATTTAAATGCCTGCTAAGTATACACAAAAATTCAACATTCTATCACAAATGTAAATTTATGGCGTAGTAAACCAAGCTACCATGACGGAATGCCCAAGCAAGCATGGAGATATAGCAGTATCTCACGTGAAAATACACCAAATCAGTGTAATCTGTTTTACTGTAAATTGATGCTCAATTTTCATATTAATTTGTAGTTATACTAATTAGTTATATCAATAAGCTAACACCATTGGGCTTATTGTTAACGCAAATGTGCTGAACGTAAAACAAAGTTTCTTTTATATATGTAGCTTTTTCTTCGTCTCTTTTCTCTACAACTACTACTACTACAGAAGTTGGGATTATCACTTGATGGTGGGCCCAAATCTAATTTCAACCTAAATCCATCATGCACATTTTACACTGCAGAATTCAGGCTTACATTTTTAAAATGAACAAAATTTAAATGTTAAACCTAAAAAAAATCGTAGTTAAAAGAGAAAGGTAGCATTAAAACAACAATGTATATTTGCATATTGGGGGAGCATAAAGTTTGGGAACTTGTTTTGTTTAATTTGACAAACGTGGTGAAAAAATGAACCACTATATGTTTAATTTTACTCATAATTGATTCAGTACTGTGTTCCAGCATGATTCATTCAACAAAATGTAACAATGAATAAAATAATAGAATAATTTACTAAGGCACATTTTAAAAAGGGAACAGCCTTCTTATAGTAAGTATGCAAGTATGCCATTACGGAAAGAGGGGAGGAGGAATGACAAAATATACATCGTAGGAAACTAAGCTCAGATGTCTTATTGATGTGTGGTGAGGAAAAGCAGAATAAAAGCAAGAGCATTTATTCAATCCAAGATAACCGTCGAAGACGTAATTATGTATTTTCATAAATGGCCGTAAGTTAAACAAGAATAATATCAAAATCGAGAGATTTTATTATCCTGTTTTATATGTTCATACAGGGAGCTCGGATATTGAAATCTTCTCATTTCGACTACGAATTTTACCTGGGGCACAAGATCGTTTTCTTGTGTGTTGCTATGGGAGATCCACGACCCCGAATTACCTGGTTTAAGAATGGAGTGGAGTTATTTTATCATCCCTTTTTTCAGGTAAAGCTTCAATCAGCAAAATACATTCTCATATAAATATCATAAAACTGTTAATCGTTTCAGACATGACGAAAAGAAAAGTTTTAAATCAGAGAACCAGGAGAACCTGGAACCATTCTGAATTTCATTATAGCTTCTACAGCTTTCCCATTAGATTGAGAACAATGGTTAACCCTGAAAATACTTTAAACTAATAACTCTAATTAACTCACGATAATAGACTTAATAGTATGAAATTAGCGATAATGTGAACAAAAGTGCTACTCGAAGTCCCAGTTGTGCTTGTTACAAATATATTTTAAGAAAATAAAATGTACAGCATGTAATATTTAAAGTATTTCATTTCATAAGTTTGAACTTTCAAAACTACTTTGATTTTAATTTTGAACAATTATTTAATCAAATGTTTAAATTATTTATCTCAAATGTGGTTAATAAGACAACTGATTAGAAAGTTGTGGCATTACTGTAAATGCAATATTCTATCTTCTTTTTTATATATGAGCCTCGCTCAGGCTTATGTTTGAGTGCGTGTTTTATTTTTATTACAGGTAATACTTTGCGTATGCTATGTTGTGTTACATATCTATCATTGATATATACAAATAGCTAATAAATAATTAGTTTATACTATTGATAAATTAACCTTGGTGTACAGATCACTGAAAGGCTACACGGCAAAAACAAGCTGAAAAGTAAATTGGAGATTACACCGGCGACGCAGATGGATTCTGGAACATACGAATGTCAAGCCAACAATAAATATGCTGTGGACAGGCGAGCATTTAAGGCTGACTTCTAATGCACATAATTTAAGTAACATTGTTCACATCCTAATTAGATTTTGATGCTCTATCAGAATACAGACAGTCGCAAAGAAAAATGAGTTATTCAATACAAATTAATATTGTTCTTTAAATCACTGTAAATTTTTGCTTCGTTTGGAATGACAATAAACAAAACTAAACAGTTAACCTACCACAGTTAAACTACCACAGATAATCAAGACATTTTATTCAAAACTTAACAAATGTATGATTTGCATTGAAATGTTGATTTGTCATAAAACTGGCTGATAAGATAAATCTTAAAGGTAGTCAGTAAAAAAACATTTCTAAGTGATTTGAAAAATAACAATTAATTTAGTGCTAATCTTGTTCAGTTGTTTTTATCAACTGATGAAAGAGGTCCCACCGATAATCACGATGCTTTAGTCACGTCGTTAGTTTAGGATATGCATCTCTTTTTATACACTGCCTAATAACATACTTATCAGTCATAAAATATCTTATTTTATACGTTTCAGATGATTTATGGATTTATTTTATTATAATGTGCTTCTTTGGTTTGGCATGCTCTATATTCATGACACAAAGTGTATTATACACATACCCACACACATCCACACAAACTTTAAGAAATGAAACTTATGTTATGTAATATTTTCAAGCTGTGTCTCAATCGACTACTACTGCCACCTTCTGATCGAAGTTGGGTTTTGCAATAGTAAATTGTATATTTTACAGTTGTTATGACTAATAAAAAATACTGATTTAACAATCAAACGCTAATATCCTTTATATACTGATATTAAAAAACAAAACCGAACAAACATTTATTTGACAAAACATAGGTGAAGGTCAGTCAATGGTTTGTTTTACAAATGTGCACCTTTATTAACTTCTGTTTGAGACTGACAAAGTGGAACAAAGTTCAAGAGTATTTTAATATTGTTAAAGTATGATGGTAACTGTATTTTAGATCTTTCATTCTTAGAATTGTAGTAAGTACATTTAAATAACTTTATTAGTTTCATTGTAAATGTTCCTCATATATATATATATATATCAATGCTTATTTGTTCAAATAGAATGACTGAATTTGTTTAAGATATTCTTATTATGTGTCTATCTCTTTTAGTCTTAGCAATGTGGTTATTAATTTGCTTTCCACTGTTAAATTCTATATTACTGTAAGCTTTATGATTATAACAACACGTGCTCTTTCTACTCTACTTGTAACATATATCTTAATGAGAGAGCGCACTCTGTTTGATTTTAGCATTAAACAGTAATAGTTATCTTGAAAATGTAATAAAATTATTATTGATTGTAGCTGTTAATTAAAATTAGCATGAAAAATTTGCGCGTATATTAATGAATATTTAGTGAAGCTCTGTGTACCTCTGCTAGTATATTGTGAGTATTGCCATTCTTCAACCTTGAAAGTTTTGCCTGTCAAAATGAGAGGTTATGCCAAATTTTTGCTCATGTTGGCTGCAATTATTTCTAGGTTTCATGCGTCTATAAAATCTTTAAAATCACTATCTTGCTAGTTCCTCTCTCTTGCCGTTCTAAACGTCGTAAGTTGCCATGTTTCCAAATTTATGTATACTTCGTTGCTTGATAAAACAATAAAAAAATAATAGATGTTATGATTTGCTTACTTCCAAAGTGATTCTAAATACAGTAAAAATACATAGATAATTAAACACCGTATAACAAATATACATGTTTGTACTGGGATAGAAAAAACACAATCGTATTTTTCTAAACTCGTGCTGGTGTTGTCCCTGTGATAATTAACTGTCTTACTGTACTCTATCAATATATATATATATATATATAGTACTGAACACTAATTTCAGAACAGCTTAGATTGGAGTCGACTTTCATCTAATGACCTGAAGAACACCACTCGAGTTGGTGGTGAGATAAAGTAGTGTTGCGTCATCGAGATCACGTGACAATTCTCACGCTCTCTTGTTTCTAGAACTATCCCGTATCTTGGCGAATGGTCTAGTAATTACTAGAAATAGGGTACGCTGGTATATAAAAGAGGGGAATTATCTCCACACACATTACCGACTGCAGTTCAATTACTCACTCTCGTGCTCTCTATAAAACTGGTTTATTCTTTCCGAATATAACTTAACCGATACACTCAACAATCGCGCTAAACAAACGCTATAGCAACGAACGTCGTTACGTCTCCGTTTCGTTAATTGATTTTTCCGTAACTTCGTTCCGACGAAACTTAAGCGACACAAGTTCTTTACTTAAAATATTTTAGGCAGAGATGACGTCAAATACGATTTACTGTCAGCGTTATGCAACAAGCAAGCAGAGACGTTCTTGTCAAAATAAAGTTAAGCTTTTCACTGAACATACGTGAAAAAATATGTTACAAGAAATATATCATATGCAGAGACGGCGCTAGGCATTGTCACAAGAGGTCCGTGCCCAAATCTCGAGATCATAGCAAAATATGTGTCACTTAAGTTTTCCACGTGCGCCACCATTTTGTTCTAGCATACACTTATATATGACGTAATTATCCACCCTTCTCGCCAGTATCAAGATCATTTTAACCTTTGTCACTTGTATGATGACTCAGATATTGGTGACGTAATGAACCTTGCGGTGAGCACCACGAGCTCGTAGACTTCCGATAATAGCAGCGTTACCTCGCGTAACCTCGCGTTGTCTGGGTTTTCGAAAAAACTACTCTTCTTTTTCCTGCACCATATTTCAATAGGAAAAAATATTTTGTGAGCTTATGAAAAAACCTTAGGTTTCCTTTCTGAAAATAAACTAGGAACCTATTTTAAATCAGGGCCTTATGGAGAATATTTAGATTATCTTATACACGTACGAGTTGAGTACCTGTTCTGGTGAACAGGATAAGCCTAGCTCTATTTTTACAAACATTATGATAGTAGTAAGAACATTAGCGTCACTTATGCCCTTCCCCCATCCTCCCTCATCCCTCCTCAAATAGTTAAATTTCAAACGTAAATATGTATGTAATATTATGTTCAATTTCCTTTAATGTAAAGTTAGTATATTTTTATGAATGAGATATCGTATTCACATTGATGTATGAAATATATTACAAACAAAATGTAATACTGTACTGTTATGTATCTGCTTGTTTGTTAATTTCCGGTATAAATTTTTTTTTGAGTGACTTCAGCAATACAAGGCCTTTCTTAATTAAAACTAGTTTATTCTTTCTTGATACAACACACGCTATAAATCACAGTGATTCACACACTTTACTTACGGTGCCTACTGTTCGCATGACTCAATTATCTATATCTTCAGTCTATCTGCATATCTATCTAAATCACTTCAAATGCGCTGGTTTTT